AGCAGGGAGCCCGATGCGGGACTCGATCCCGGGACTCCAGGATCATGACCTGAGCCGAAGGCAGTCGCTTAACCAACTGAGCCACCCAGGCGCCCCATACTTGACTTTTTAAACAACCCTTTTAAAGGACACCTTTAGGTGGTGTAAGAGTAAAGTCTAGCAAACATCAATGATTGTCTGATATTAACAGATACTAAGTCTACTTTGCTATAGTTTGATATCATTTAGCACTGTATGTATGTTGAATAAAACTTATTTTCAAAATTCCAGTCATAAGAACAATAAAACTGCATACTGAAGTTGAGTTGTAAACTTTTAAGCTCCTGAGTTAACAGCAGAAACTATCTCTATTTTTGTAACCCTAACATCTAGCACAGTACCTGGGAGTGGAGTATATCAGCGTGTGCTAAATGATTAGTCATAAATCACAGGAAGGAACTATTACATTAGTAATCGTACCACAAAAACCACGTAGCTTGTGTTCCTGTCCACTTGACAATAGCCAATCCCAAGGAAGTTTGTAACATCCACTTTACTTTAAACTTAGACTTTCCCCTGAATCGAGAAGGATCGCTCTTTTTTTTTAAGATTTTATTTGTCAGAGAGAGAGCCAGCACAGAGGGAGAAGCAGGCTTCCTGCTTAGCAGAGAGCCCGATGCAGGACTCAATCCCAGGATCCCGGGATGATGACCTGAGCCAAAGGCAGCCACTTAACCAACCGACTGAGCCACCCAGGCGTCCCTCTCTTCTCAATTAACCCAGGCGTTAAGCCTCTTTAGTTAAGCTAGCTAATAAATATTCAATGTAAAAACATTTAAAATGCTTTATTTCAGATAGGAAGGATTCCCTGCAATAGTTTAAACATTATTGTACTTAGCTCACTATTTCCTTATCAGAAACTGAACATTTGGGGCGCCTGGGTGGCTCAGTTAAGTGTCTGCCTTCGGCTCAGGTCATGATGACCTCAGCATCCTGGGATCGAGCCCCACATCAGGCTCCCTGCTCAACGGGAAGTCTTGTTTCTCCCTCTGCCTCTCCACCCACTTGTGCTCTCACTCATAAAATCTTAAAAAAACAACAAAAAAACCCATTTCCTAATACCTAGCATAAGGTTGGCCCTAAAGGTGGGAATGACGTTAAGTTTAAATGGAATGCCTCTTTGTTCACATGGCTGCCACGTCCCTTGGACTACAGCAGAAACTGCTACGACTTGGTACCACCACCCAGATCTTTGGTCTTTTCTGACATCTGGAGCCTACCTCAGCCCAGGTCTCTGGCTTGGCTCCTCCCATCTCAGTAATCTACTGCATTATTAGAAATAACCCGTTCTGGGACACCTGGGTGTCTCATTCAGTTAAGCGTCTGCCTTCGGCTCAGGTCATGATCCCAGGGTCCTGGGATCGAGTCCTGAGTCGAGTCCCACATCGGGCCCTCTGCCTGCCTCTTCCCCTGCTTATGCTCTCTCTCCCTCTCTTTGACAAAATCTTTTAAAAAAGTAGTCTAAAAAAAACTACCCATTCCAAGTAATGAGTAACACAGTGAAGTTTCAGTGCATTCTCAGCCCATGCTGCTTTATTGCCAAAATATATATACATACACACACACACACACACACACACACACACAGGTGCAGAGTTTCCAACTCAATATAGCAGTTCCCTTTTACATCAAAGAATAAAATTTCTGAAATCCCAAGGATGCATAGATTAAAAAGCTGCCTTTTGTAATACTTTATAAATATTCAATGAAATTCTTTTTAACATTATATACTAATGGTGCAATGAAGAAAATACAGAACAGCAAGTAAAAACAGTGAGCAACAACCGTACTTATAGGAGAGTAAATCAAAATATGTTAATGATACTCTAATATAATATGACTGTGATGGGCGGGTTTAAGGTAAGTGCCAAGACTATTACTGTTATTTAAGGACTGATGATAATGTATTGCCAGAATACTGTTCTTATCTCTGGGAGGAAAATTGATGGCATGGCATACTATCACCAAGGGAGACAAAACCTTTTGAAAATTGTTAGTAACCTTCCGGTATCTATTTTGATTCTAATGGAGGTTTAGGAGTAAACGTTCCTAGAGAAATCTGTGACACCTGGTTTTTTATCTATGTGCCTTTGTGGAATAATGGGAACAGTTGTGAGAAACTCCTTCCTTGTATCTTTACTGGTTTCATTGGTTGGCAGATGTAATCAGTAAGTGGCAAGGAGAAAATTTACAAATGGGAAATGATATCTCACTTCCTGTACTTAAGTGAAGACTAAACACTGCAATGATTGTAAGTTTAATTCAGTTCTGAACTCCTGGAAAGTTACCACTTACACTTAAACATTCCCAGAGGCATTTGGAGTGAAATCCCAGAGCAAACAGGTTAAAATGACTTAAGAAAAATTAATTTTCAATCATAGAACATGAAACCTCGGAGGGGCCTATGAGAATCATATAGTCTAACTCTGAATTCTCTCCTGTTTATGCCACTCAGCTATGAATTCCATTTGTATTATTACTTGTCATGATCATTTGCACTTAACAGGGTTTATTTCAAAGTCAGGAATCTTCTCAAAAATTTTAAGCTACCACAATAAACTGATCTATTTTCTTCATCAAGTAAGGAAATATATGGCAAGTGTTCTTTTTTTCTCCAAAAGTGGGAAAACCTGCTCCTGTTTACCTGGCATCAGAAGCTTTAGGCAATAAATTATGCAGTCTGAGCAAAATAAAATGGCTAAAGCTCTGGCTATAAAATTTTAAAAACAAAACATTTATGTAATACAGTAACAAAAAAGAACCCAAACCACAGATTTGTCAATACTTTTAGCACTGTTTCCACAAAATGGAGCAGTCTCCTTGGCTGCAGGGAACCTTTATGGCTGGTCGGTACCAGTAGCATCCAGAAGAGTTGGCTGGTTATCTGAAAATCCTGCAACATCTGAAATACGGGCATATTGCTTCCATTCACTTCCAAGATACTAGTTTTAAAATATCCTAACTTAAGCCACATAAATTTTCTCAGACAAACCCCATTCTTTCATTTTATATACTCTACACTGGCAATTCCCTACTTTCCTACCCTTTCTGAAACTCTGCACCTTTCTGATTATTATAGCCATAGCAGCTTATTTATTCAACATGCTTAGTTTGTGCCTTTGTTTTGTTTTTAAACATGCTTGGGGACTAAGGGAACCAGGCAAGAGGTTAGAGGGTGAGCACTGTCATGCTCTCTATTCCTGACAGTTTGAATGTCTTGTGGTTGCCCCTGTTTATCTTCTAGCTCCCATTTTCAATGGAAGTTAAGATAATCTTTAATTAGAAAATGAAAACTAATAATCCAAAAAGTAAATTCAGGCTACTGGTTTAAGTCTCTATTGCTTCATTAATAAATGCATATATAATATCTATCTACTAGCCACCACATAACACTGGACATTTTCAATCATGCATTAGAATATTAGTACTCTAAAATCAGAATTCTGGGCCTGCCACTATTTCTTGCACTTTCATTCAGACCCAGTTTTAATAAACATGCAGAAAAGACCCCCTGATTCAGAGGAATTAGGGGAAATAACAAGGATGCATGCAGTTCCAACTGAAAATGTGGGTTAATAAAGTGATTGCTTAGAAATGCAGGCAGAGCAGGTGCTCCACATCACAATGCTGCTTCAGAATAGAGGTACAAAGTCACACACAAAAAGGTGAAAATCAGGACCACTACTTAGTTACAAAAGGCTTAATTGCGAATCCTGGCCCTTTTGGGTAGAGAATGATGTGAAAACTCTGGGAAAAGAAAGAGAATTGAAAGATGTACAGTCTTTTGGAGCAGTTAAGTTTTCTTGGCCATTTATTGACAGCTGTAGCATAGAAGAGCATACGTGTATAGAGATGGTGAAGATGCTCTTAGGCAGAATGGTTTGATTCACATTAATGAACTTTATCTGCACAGCCCCCTGGGGAAAAGGAGTTTATGAACAGCAGAGCTGATATAATGTAAACTCAAAATCAATGCCCTGAAATTTAGCATAGATTTGTACTTTGAAAACTATCAGCCAAGGAATTCTTCCAAATAGGGTATGGTTAATAGCCAAGCAATGTTCTGAATAAACTAGAAGCAATTTGCTTGCACCAGCAGCACCATGAGAATGTAAACTCCTGGAGGCCAAGGGTCTCTTCATATTTTGCATATCACAGGTACACAAAGAGTAAACATGAGACCACAACATTGAAAAGTAATAACCGCATACCTAGAGACTACAAAAACTTGTAGCACATTTTAGCATTTACAACTATTAACGTGGCTGTTATTAGTCTTTAAGTAACTAAATTGTTGACATCACTATAATACACAGCGGTGTCCTCATGATCGTGCAGATGACTAAATATTGCTTGGTTATTCCAATGTCTCTAGCACCAAATGACGGCGTAGGACATTTAAAGAGGAGCTATAATCCATTTAATATAATAGCCTTCTCCCTATCCTCTGGAGTTGCCATATAAGAAATATTCAAGAGGCACTATTTTCTTAAATCCGCTCCACTTTTAGTTTTTTCCCCTGGGAAAACAAAGGAACAGAGACCCAATCTTTTCAGGGACCTTCAAGGTGCTAAATGGCCAAAATGAACACAAGGTAAAAGGGAGTAAGAAGTCAGCTTCCATTCCTCTATTATATCCTGATGTGAGGTGTGAGATCCCTCAGATCAAGAAACTAGTTTGCTGGGCTCTTATTAAAGAGTCACATGCCAAAGTCCTCAACACATGTACATCAGACAAGGTTTATAAAACCAACATACTGTCTTTGGCTATTCCCTTCAATGCTTTGCTTTACATCTTTAAATTCTAACTCCCCTAAACTAACCAGAGGCATAAGGAAAAGCCAGCTATCCAAGTTCTTGGTTTGTTTTTAACCCAAACACACACACACACACACACACACTTTTCCATTCTTAAAATGCACCCAGAGAATGAAAGGAGAAAAGAAAAGGTGACAGAGCACAAAGTCGCCTATTCTATAAATGCCTGTTGCTGAAAAGAACATCAGAAGCAAAATCCCCACCTGATGGCTTCAGTGGGGCTACATCGGTAGGAGTACATTTGTTTCCTGGTTAACCACTAGAAAAATTTCATTCATTGGCTCTACCCCTCTGCTTTAGGAAACAAACAGGGTCTCTAACCTTTACACCTACACAAAAGTTGCTATTTCTCACACATGATTTATTCATATACATTCAGCTTTTAAAGTACCTTTTATATGTTCTTTGCCTAAAACATCTTCCTTTGGTGCAACTCTGTTCATCACCAGAGCTTCACCAACTCAAGTAGTAATATTTATTCTATTGTACAACTTTGCTAATACAATTTACTATACATGCAAAACTGTTATTGCTACAAAAATTCTACCTCTTGAAAATTATTATTCGTTTTATGGCTTTTATTTATTTTTTGCAATAGGAAATATCCTTTCCTATGTACTGTGCTATTTTGCATTCATTCATTACCTTTTCAGAGGTATTTTTAAAAATATTTAAATGCTTTTTGGAAATAGATTCTCCCAGGCACTAAACTACTAGAGCCAAGAGTACAACTGCTTTAAAAAGTACACTCTGAGAATCTAAACCTGGGTCCCTGGATATCTGCTGCTACAGAGTCTATTTGTTTAAGCTTGCTTGTGTACTGGAGACACACCACATTCCTTTTGCATTACATATCATGGTAACTGTAAAATCTGTGTCAAAAAATCCTGAACTCTCCTAATACTGAGACTTAAAAATCACCTCCAAAAACTGCCCTTTCCAAGTTCTCAAGGCAGCTTTTAGGGGTAGGAGTTTCTTTTCCACAGAAAGCTATCTTATGCTTTCAGAACAAAATCATTTATTTTTACAAGCAGAAAAAAGTGAAAGCTGTCTGAGGTGGCTTACTATAACCAAGCAAAAGAGATAGTTATTACATGGCAACCTGCTTAGGCTCCATCTAGTTACACTCCAATTCTTGTGAAAAGGTCTGGAATGCCATCAACACGCAATTCAGACTGTGAAATAGGAAAAGCCTGTGACAAATTAATGTAGGACACTGAACTACTGACCAGTGTTCTTCCATAACAATTAGCATGCCACAGACAGGAAATGTAAATGGTCTGCAGATTAGAAAAGCACTTGACTAACATAGCATTTCAGTAAGACATGCAAAATAAGAAAATAATTTCTTGATGCAAAGGAGTGGATTAAATAATAAACCTACAAGACACACTGTGTGAAAACAGCATAAGAACAATCTCATCTCAAACTAAGAGAACAAAGCAGAATCATGAAATGGGGCCTCATTTTGATTTGAGGTTTCATAAGACACAAAGGCAGCTGGTTTCCAGCTACCTCAGCAAAAGCTTAAATATCCTCAAACACAGTATTTCACACTGTAATCCCACAGTTCTATTCAAAAATGAGTTTTTGGCCTTAATCTCCTTTCCCCAGGGAGAATATCATGATTCCGATATTTATGAAAAAAGAAAAGGTCTCGACTTTCCACTCATGTTACACTACTGGTTATTATCAATATTCATCCTGAAGTTTAAATTATTACTAGGCTCATGCACTAACCCCTAACATGGCACTACAATATGCTACCAAGCACTAATGCTTACAAAACTATACACATCTCAAAATGGAAGACATTGGTGATTTTGTTGTTCTTAAACAACTTGTAACATTTGTCCACAAGTATTAAAATATACATATATATATTTCTATTGCACATACCCCGTTTTTGTTTAACTTTTTAAAAGAAAAACTGCCAGCTGACATGATGAGCAGAGAAGGAAGTAGGCACAGCTACTGATCAAGGTGTAGTCCTGCCTAAAATTACAGCTTTTCCCATTAAGAAGGGGACAAAATAGCCCAGGGGGAAAAATGTAGGCATATTAAGCAAACGCTGGGCTAGTACACTGGCAAAGACCCATTTTGTTAGATACTATCTGGTGACAACCATTAAAGATTCAAAGAACAACTTGAACGAGAGCATTCAACAGTGGTTCCTTAACTATGAAATAAATACAAAGCAACTGGAGAAGATGAGTCTGATACATACTCAAACAAATGGGCCAGAGATGGTTTCACTGGTGCTGATGGTATAAAGTCCCTATCCCCTGCCAAATGGTCCTACCCAAAACACTGCAAAAAGGACATGGGGAAGATGGATAACAGACAACTAAAGATATAAATTCTCAGCATACCAATGGAACTCAGTTCTGTCTTTAACAATTCCAAAATAGTTAAAGAAAATATCAGGAAGTTGGCTGAGAAGTTACTTAGAGAAACATTTAAGTTACCTTTATCCAAAGTTACTTCTATGTTTTACCACTCAGTATTTGCCCTCAAAGGAAATTATATTTTATCTATATTGTGGAATTATTTTACAAAAAAGCTTTCTTATGTCAATTCAAAGAGGTTGACCAATTTAACTAATCGTTAAGAGTGCTCAACAATTCCCATTTTTGGCCATTTCTCTCACTGCTAAATTTTGGTAAATCTGCCCTAAGTTTTTAGCATCACAGCATGTATGACCCTAGGCAAATTTCCTAAATCACAGATATGATCTAAGACAATTTGTTCTTAATTGCATCTAAGAAGTTTCAAATTCTTTCTCACAAAGACTCATAGCTTCCTTCTTCTTATATAAAGACCTGACAATTCATACAGTGGTCCTCTGTAGATTTGGAAGCAAGAATAGCTTTACATTATAATCTGTTCATCACATGGTGTAAGTTTTAAGGAGAAGAAGAAAGATCCGTATTTTTGTTGAACTATTTTTGTTTGAGTTTTTTTCCAGACCCCGAATTTCTTCTAAATCAACCACAAATTTGGGAACATTGCTACTGAAGTGTTTGGTTACAACCAGGGAAAGTTACCTGAGTCCCAGCCTTTACAGCCTAACATTACACCTCACCTAAAAAAATAAACCAAACATCTGAATACCCATCTTGGATCAAAGGAACAAAGTTATTTATGTTTTTAGAAAACTGGAGCTACAGAATGTAAGATGCCATAAAGTTAGATGGAGCTGCATAAAGCATTTTTGCTTCCTTTTCGCAGGAGAAAGGAATTATCTGCAAACTCTTTTGTTTTCCCCATTCCTTCATGCCCAAAGTTGAAGGCAGGTCATACTAGAGGATCTGCCATATCTTCTGAACAGAAAAACCACTTAAGCCACTTGTTCCTGCCTTAGCAGCATGGAAAACCAAGTCTCAAGTGCTATGTTAAGAGTCCACAAAAAAGAATGAAGTAATTTGCAATACAGGAGCCTCTCATCTGAGGGAGGTGAAAAGGGTTCCACCAGTGGACTTGAAGCTGTTTTGTTTCCTTTTCCAACCTTTCAGTAAACTCAAGCATGCATTCATAGGGTTAGCAAATGTACAATGTGGTCTTTCCTTAGAAAAATGAAAAATCATTTAAAAATACGAAATGTCCAAAGACAGAAGTCAACAAAAGCTTCCTGCTCTAGGAGAAAAATCCCTCTTCACATCCAAACTGTAGATTTACACATGTAAAGATGTGTATTTTACAGAGACTCTGTTAACCTTGCATCCTCTTGTCTTCATGCTTCTTTATCACATCAAAGGTTTTATTGCAAAATTGGATCTTTGTTCTTTTCCAGCAAGTGTACTTCAAAGGATGAGTCAGGATTTAGATATTTAATATCTGTAGTTTTTAAGCATATCTTTCATTTCATATTAGAACACGTATTTGGAATTTACTCCTTGCAGATTCAACTGTGCTTATGACAGTGGCTGAAACTGGAAGACATTTAAAAAAAAAAAAACCTGATGTCATCCATACTTGCTATTTATTTAGTCTTCTTGTTTGAAACAAAAGGTAAAGAATTCACAAACACCAACATCTAAGCACCTGTTTCAAATTAAACATCAGCCTCAGCTTCCAAAATAACTTCTTTATAATTAAGCAAAAAGCAGAACATGCATGTCAGTTGCTTCTTTCTTCCTGGAGAAGTTGGCAAGACAACTGCATCCTAGGAGCTTCTCAATGTTGAATCTGAGAAGTGGAACAAAAAGAAAAGCAGCCTTTTCCGATCCAAATCATGGAGGTAAAATATGTAGAGAAGAGATATCCACATTTCAGGAATAGGGAAAGTGGCTGGATAAAAAGACTACCTACTCCAGGAGACAACACAGAATACCTGGAAATAAAAAATAAATTAAAAACAGGGAGGTTAAGGCAGGTACTTCTGCATGAGCTCATGTTTAAAAATAATATTTAAAAACACATAGAAAGAAAATACATTTTAGATTACACACTGTCTAAAAGAAAATGTCCAACAATAACACCAAATTCAGTATTGTCATCAGAAAAGCAAGTCAAAAAAATATATAAGCATAATACAAAAAAGTTAGATTTATGTAAAAACTAAAAAAAAAAAAAGGGATACACATGTCCAAGGGTTCCTGGTTCCTCAGTCGGTTAGGGCATCCAACTCTTGATCACAGCTCCAGTCATGATCTCAGGATCGTGAGATACAGCCCTGTGTCAGGCTCAGCACTGAGTCTGCTTGAGATTCTCTCTCTCCCTCTCCCCCTCACCTGCTCGCAGGTGCTCTCTCTCAAATATATAAATCTTTAAAAAAAAAATACTACAAAGCTGTAGGTAATCAAAACAGTATGGTACTGGCACAAAAACAGACACATAGATCAAGAGAATAGAATAGAAAATCCAGAAATAAACCCACAATTATACAGTCAATTAATCTTCAAAAAAGCAGGAAAGAATGCCCAATGGGGAAAAGATGGTCTCTTCAATAAATGGTGTTGGGAAAACTGGACAGCTATGTGCAAAAGAATGGAACTGGACCACTTTCTTACACTATTTTTTTTTTTTTAAAGATTTTATTTATTTATTTGCGAGAGAGAGAATGAGAGACAGAGAGCACGAGAGGGAGGAGGGTCAGAGGGAGAAGCAGACTCCCCGCTGAGCAGGGAGCCCGATATGGGACTCGATCCTGGGACTCCAGGATCGTGACCTGAGCTGAAGGCAGTCGCTTAACCAACTGAGCCACCCAGGCGCCCTACTTACACTATTAACAAAAATAAACTCAAAATGTATTAAAGACCTAAATATGAGAACTGAAACCATAAAAATCCTAGAAGAGATCACAGGCAGTAGTGTCTCTGACATCAGCCACATTTTTCTAGATAGGTCTCCTACAGCAAGGGAAATAAAAGCAAAAATAAATTACTGGGACTACATCCATATAAAAAGCTTCTGTACAGTGAAGGAAACAATCAACAAAACTAAAAGGCAACCTACTGAATGGGAGAATATATTTACAAATGACATACCCAATAAAGGGTTAATATCCAAAATATATAAAGAACTGATGCACTTCAACACCAAAACCCCCCCAAAATTCAATTAAAAAATGGGCAGAAGACATGAACAGACATTTCACCAAAGACGACATACAGATGGCCAAAAGACACATGAAAAGATGCTCAACATCTCTCATCATCAGGGAAATGCAAATCAAAACTACAATGAGGTATCACCTCACACCTGTCAGAATGGCTAAAATAAAAAACAAGTGTTGGTGAGGATGTGGAGAAAAAGGAACCCTCTTGCACTATTGGTAGGAATGCGAATGGGTGCAGCCACTGTGCAAAACAGTATG